TGCAGCACATCATTCAATAAATGCATAAATTTGAAATACAGAAACCACCGTTCGTTCATTCAGTCCAAAAATTGCAAAAATATCATTCTATATTAAATTTCATGGACTTCAATGTTACAAAAATCCAAAGCTAATAAACAACTAAAATTTTCCACAAAAAATTCAACTAGATGACAGAAAATAAGAGACAGTAACAAGCCTCCTTAATAGGAACGGCCAAAAACAAATTTGAAAGCCCTCCGTCATAAGAATATTTTCTCAGATCTACGCTAGAATCAAAGCGCTCTTCTTGGTATTCAATGTGGTTTTCCATGGAATTTGAGAAAGATGAGAATCCTTCTCAGTTACTGATTTTCAAAGACAATAAATATGCAAAAAGAATTATGTGTTAGCATGATTCAAATTTAAAGCCCACTAAACTCGTACGTCTGTTACATGTAATACAGAGATTATTTATATATGCCGCAAAAATGAATTTTTCAGATAAAACGCTTCAGATAAATATTAAACAAGAACGACACCTGATCAAGGTCTTTTGCCACGACTGTGTTTCCCAGGGCAGCAAAAAAAGCCAGCTTCAATCGACTTTCCTTGACTATAACTAGATCAAAAAGGCGTGGAACTCCTTCAGGTGTTCTGACTTTCTGCTGTAGTTTATGCGCATATCCAGTTTGTTTTTCCTGCGTTAGAAACAAAATGTTATTGCTCACACTTAGAAATGCATGGAAAGTGCTTTGACAGTTTCAAAAGAAAGTGTGATAACAGATGTTCGTCATTGTGCTTCAATGTTCAAAAAAAAAAAAATCTACTATACCTGCAATCATGAAACTGATAGGATACACTTGTAGAAATAGAAGAAAACTGGGCTGAATTTGGAATATCAGCAAATTGCAAACAGTAATTGATGAGGACAACGGAGATCAACGGCTACGATCTTGAGTTATTTATTTATATGTACTAGTTTATTTCATATTATTGTTTTCCCCTTTATAATCTTACGGGTGGTCATGTAGTATTGTAGCCCGAAGGTCATTTTAGCCTTTTATTTCTTTTCTTTTCATGAGGCCTATTTATAGGCTAGTTGTTTTGTATTTTGGGATGATGAATTATTGAATGAAGAAGAGTTTGTTCTTGTTTGATCTCTTAGTGAGTTCATGAGAGGAGAAGTCCGAGGAGGGCGATTTGCAATACCCGTCAATCTTTGGAATAGTCCAAGGTTCACGGTTCTTACGATCTCATTGTGAGTTCATTAGTTTACTGTTATCTTATTTGCATTTTTTGTTCATCTCCTTTCTCCCCCTCTCCATCCACCACCGGCCATCCCCTTCCCCCCCAAGTCCTCCTTAGCTCCACCACCTCAAGCTCCCACCGACAACCCAAGCCCTTCCCCATCCCCTCACCTGACGCCATCTCCTCCTTCCCCTTTGCCGCCGGCCCCCCTCATAATTTCCCCCTCATTACCATAATGACTTCCTAATTTAGCTCAAGCGTGAGAGGGAAAATTTGAATTCTTTTGAAATTCAAATTCGAATTTCAAATTCTTTCCATATAGGGAATCCAGAAAAGTATCAATCATGAATTCAATTTCAAAATAAATCAAATTGGATTTATTATTCACTTTCCTCAATTTGAAATTTGAAATTCAAATTTCAAAAACTTTCCTTATTTGCAAATTTTAATTAGAAAATTGTATAAATTCAAGTCTATTTGAAATTCAAATTAATTTGGATGTCATGATGCCTTTCCTAACTCATGTGTATTGTTTTGAAAACTCATAAAACTCTCCCCACAACTTCTCCCTCCCCTTAAAATTTCCATAAATGCTTTCCTAATTTGGCTCTCCTAATTTAAGAATAGAATTAAATTCAAATTCAAATTTGAATTTCAAACTATTCTTAAATTATCATCCCATAAATTAAGAGAAACCTCCAAATAGTTTAAATCTGAAATTAATTTCAGATTTAACTATTCAATCCTCTTAATTACTTGGGTCCACCTCCTTAATACCCAACCCCTCTCCCTTCCTCTCTCCTTGGCCGGCCCCCCTAACCTTCCCCTTTTAATTAATTACATCCCATGAATTAGGGATGTAATTAACACAATTCCTTCCTCAAATTAATCCTCTTATCAATTCCCTAATCCACCTCAGCCCTAACCGCCCTCTCCTAGCCCCTATTCTCTCTGATTTCTCTTTCCCTAGAGATTCCTGCAAGCTGTCCACGAAATTCCAGCAAAATGCCTTGCTGTCCAGCACCCTTGGGGGTCACGATTTGCTGTCTTGAAGCTCCTTACACCCTATAGCAGTTGTCCAAGGCTTCTCTAAGCCTTATAATTTGTTGTCCAGATTTCTGGAGGGATTCTATAATCTGTCCAGAACTTTTCCATTGTCAACATTGCTGTCCAGAACTCCAGAGATTGAGAAAATTGATGTCCAAGTTGCCGGGATCGCCGTCCAGGAAGTTCTGCACTTTTCCATTGCGGTCCAACCAGCCCAACTGCTGTCCAGCCCTCGTGGAGTCCACGCCCTGCTGTCCGATGACTCCCAATCCCTCCTAGGAGCTGTTTAGGCTTGTGAAAGGATCCCGATTGGTATCCCACTGCAGAAACAACCATCGTCAATACCAAAGCTTCGTGTCTTCTGCTGCATGTAGGTAAACTCTTCCACCAAACTCTCTTATCTTCCTAGTTTACTTATCACTTGTGGTTATATGTTGATTCAAAAAAGATCATGCTAATTCTTCCCTGCTAAAGCTTAGATAACTCAAGGTTTAAAATTACGTAATTAAGCCTCGAGGCGGTTTTCGTTCGTGAGGCGAGGCGGTCTGAGGCATAAGCCTCACGGACAAAGAATTGCGTAAATGAGAAATTAAGGGTTTTAGTAGGATAATAATAGCAATATTCTATCTTACAATAAAAACATCTAAATAATATATGAAAATAGTGGAAAGTGACAAAATAGATGCAATAAAATCATGTCCCAAAGTACAAAATCAAAAAAACATAAACCCTGCCTCCTAAAGCAAAAATCCAAAAACACAAAAAAAAAAAAATCAAAAAAACATAAAGCCTAGATTTTCTTACACTTGAAAAATCTAACCCTAAACTAAAAAAAAATACCTAAAATCCAATGTGGAGTACTCCTAGAGGGCGGCCGGAAGTTTCAACTTCGCCGGAGAGAGGCGACGCCGGCGGGAGAAGCGGCGGTAAGGGAAGCCGGCGGGTAAGGACCGTGCAGGAGCTCTCTGTTTCACGAACTGGAGTCGTGCGGGTAGGAAAAATTCGGGAGGAGCTGCTGCCGTGCGGGTTTAAGGAGAACAAAACATTCATTTTAAGTGGGTGGGCCCATTCCCATGAGGCGTACGCCTCACTAAGAATTGCGCCTTTGAGGTGCGCCTCAGTCCATGTGAGGCGTACGCCTCTGCCAGGGGTGGAATTGCGTAAGCTTCGATGCGGTTTTGAGACCAATTGCGCAGAGGCGCGCCTCTTATTGCGCAATTTTAAACAGAGAGATAACTAGAGAGTTGAGTGAGGGATTTGTGCATAGTGCCTAATCTCATTGTTAATTTAGGGATTTACGTTGAATCATTCATGTATGCAATGTTAGATTAACTTAATTATTTTCTGATCTTAACTCTTACGCGCATGATTCAGCCTAAGCTTATTTTACTGCTCTTAGCGTTTTCTTTTGTTGTTAGAAAATTCATTATAAAGATATGATTATTATGGCTTCTAACACTTAAGTGTGCAAACTCTTCAAGTAATTCATCTTTGCATGATCGTTTTACATCAGTAATAGAGAAGAAACTTGTAGCCAAACACTTAAGAAACCTTTGAATTGATGAAAGATAGAAGAACACAAACAAGATACAATAGATCTTCAATTTGAGAGCAAGATCCGGCTCTCCCAAATCTCTAGATGCTGCTAAAGCCCAAAAATAGCAAAGAACACACTAAATTAAGCAAACACTCGATGCCTAACACTAGGGAAAACATTCTACTTAAGGCATAAAAACATAAATGAAATCCCTAAACAGCCCCTCCTTTTCAAATTTTCCTCATAAACCTCATTAATTCTCTTTTAATTGCCGGTTGTTGGATCCCACGCAGAGGGGGCAGACCTTGTTCGGGTGGAACAGGGGTTCCGCCTCCAATCAAATATAGTCGGTCCATCACGGACTGACTAGACCGGTCCAGTGATTAGTCTAACAGAAACATTCTACTAAAAATAAGAATATATGGCAAGAAAAACCATGCTTTACATATTATGATACTATTCTAGGAAAAGATAAATTGAGTTTAAGAGAGAGCCTCCTTATTCAACATCAATAAAATGCTCCTTGTATTTTTCTTTAATTATATCCATTGTCCTACATTTTTAGTACTTCACCAAATATTGCATCAATAAAGTAATAAACATTACCTGTGGAAAAAGATAATATTCAACTGATTTCAAGAGATTGTTAAGCTAGCTGTATTCGGTTGGGATTTATTTTTGCATAGCCATATCATGTGAGAGCTTGAAGGTTCCATTATACAGTTAATAAAGATGGAAACCAAACAGCTCAGATCTTGTCCATAATATAGAATTGCTAAGCTTCATGAAAGCAAGCTTTTAGCATTTGTTTATCCAATACATTCGATAAGAATAATTACCAAAAAAAATTCATAAAAAAACACATGCAACATAAGTATAATTACAAGGCAGAAAATGCTGGAATGGACTGCCAAGCGAAGGAAAACTGACCAATATCATAAATGTAGCAATGCCCAGATTCTTCTTCCTCAACAACTCCACGCATGCTTGAGCAGCATCTGTCGTTTCAACCACAATATAATCAAGCGCAGGGCATGCTGTTGATATTGCAATATCATACTTCGCTGCATCAAGAATGATGAATATGGTGTACACTAATTAATAGGGAGGATAAACAGGAAAAAATTAGGCATATTAGTGCTTCTGCTAGCTTAAAGTGTATGAACGTTATACGTAAAGAAATGACCGGATCCAAGATATTATTGAGTTACATAATGAAGCACCACAAGTAAACAATTGAATATAAAACCACACAATAATGATTATCATATATGAACTGAAACAAAAATAGAACATTAATAACACTTTTTTCATCCAGCCCTCCAAACAATTATATTGAGATTGAATGATCTCAAGTCATTGCTCCACTAATCAAAAATAGAAGGCATGGAGAGAGAGAAAAAAAAAAGAGTTTGACTTGTTCATAAATACACTGTAAAGTTAATGATATGGCATTCCTCAACCCATAGTTTAAAATTGCGCAATTAGAGGCGCGCCCCTGCGCAATTCTGTCCCAAATACACCCTCATTGCTTAAGTTTTTTTGGTTCTTCATAAGGCGTACGACTCTGTGCATGTGAGGCGAGCCTCTGAGGCTAAATTGTGAAATTCAGTGTGAGGCGCACGCCTCTTGTAACTGGGACCCACATACTTAAGTTCTAATTGAAAAAAGCTATCTTCCTCCCCTCTCATTTTCGCCTACCCGAAACCGGACGAACAAAAAAGCCGCAAGCCGCATGACTCGCTCTATTGCATCAATTTTTTATTTTCCACTAATTTCACTTGTCATTTAGATGTTTTTATTGTATGATAGACTCTTACTGTTATTTACCTGCTAAAACCCTTAAATTCTCGTTTACGCAATTCTTTGTCTGTGAGGCTTACGTCTCACACCGCCTTGAGGCTTACGCCTCGCCTCACGGACAAAAAACGCCTTGAGGCTTATTTACGCAATTTTAAGCATTGCCTCAACCCTCACTCTCTCTTACATAAAGAGTTACATTCATGCATATTTTTACAGAGATAAAAAAACTTTTTATTAAAGTCATACATCTTTCATGAAAGGAGTCATATCATCTACTTGTAATACCTATACCCGACCCCAACCCGTCACCAAAAAACTCTTATATAAGGAAGAGCGCACCATGAGAGTCTTAAACAAAGTTGGAATTTGTAATCCTCTTTCTAATTAAGAAAAAAAAAAGCTTTCTATTTCAAAATCTCAAACTCCCTTCTCGTGTGGCAAGTGTAATTACAATTAATTCTATATCAACTAATCCCCATATATCCATCTTTCTCTCTTCAACAAAAACACCAGGCCACTTACTAGGGTGCACGGCCACATCCTTGGAATAGTACTTCCACTCCCTTCCCAACTCCCGACTATCTTCTCACCAGAATCTATTTCTTTACTTTTCATTCCATATAGTAACCTAAGAAGTAGAAAAGGGTGAAATAAGCGTTCAAAAGAAAAAGAATTACAGGAGATGCAATTGGTTATGACTTAAGTGAAATACTATCAATTGAGAGTGAAAGTGGCCAGCTGACAGCCTTGATAGTTAACACAAAGGAAAATTGAGAGACACAAGAAAAAGATAAGGCACCAATATTTGATGAAAATGAATTCTCTTAAAGTACTGCTTTGGTTGGAGAATCTATTAGAAGGATCTCTCATCTCTCTTCACAAGCCACAAATAGTACTGAATCATCAATCAACAAAAACAATTCTAGACTAAAGAAACCACAAGTATCTGCTGCAAAAAAACATGTATGATTGCAGAGTTAAATTGCAAGAACTTACAATCAATTGCACCAAGATCTCCAAGTCGACCATAAATTCCTTCTATTTCTTTTGATTTCTTAGCGCGCAATATTTCTTTCAAAACAGAGCCCTGACTCTGCTCAGATTGCAACGTTGACTCAAATTCTGCAACTTTCTGCCTAGCGGCCTGCTCGAGAGGTACAAGTGAATCTTGTTTCATAATGCATTCCTGAGGAAAAAACCACAATGAGTGAGCATTCACGAATAACATTTTCATGGCATAATAGAAGGATAAGTAGCATGCCTGTTCTAATTTCCGGGCTTCTGAAGCTTCAAGTTTATTTTCCTCTATTTTAGCTTGAACTTCAACTATATATTTATTCTTCGCATGTAATTTATCCTTTATATCACGCAATTGTTGTTGAGCTTCTTCATAAGCAGCCCGATCAGCAGCATGCTAGAGAAAGATTAAAAATCTCACTAAGCCATAAGAGGAATGTTGATGCAACATTTGACATGCTTTGGAAAAACACACTTTTTGACAGCTTGGGGGGAATTGGGAAACTAAAGCATGCTTACGATTCAGTAACCACTTAAGTAAAGAAAAATCTAAAATACAAGTAAAATTTTAAGGAAAAAGGCCACACTTCAAAGGAAAAAAAGAATTTGATGATTTACTATTTTACAAAAAGATGAGATGTGATCCCATTTGATATTATTTAACTGTATAAATGAGCATAAAAAGTAAATATTCATATGATGCATTTGTAATAAGAGATACAAATATGCAGTTTATTATCATACAAAGTAACCTTTTCCTTCAACAACTTGGTCTCAGAGCGAGCAACATCAAGTTTTCCTTTGTGTTCGATCAGTTTGCTTTCCCATGGTTCTAATTCTGCTCGAACTTCGTTGAGCTCAGAGAAATACTTCTCTGTTTCAACTGAATCAAACCAAAAACAAGAACAATAAATGTAAACCAATGAAAATCAGCAGACTAACTACAAGGAAAATAGAGATGGGGCAGATGTGCATGAAAGCTTTTCCCATGTGACTAATAAAGGTGCGCAAAACTCTTGAGAACAAAAACAACACTTCATTATGATTCAGTAGGTCTAATTATACAGGAGACCCAATGAAAGGCCTCCATTGAGATTTTGAAAAAAAAAAAATTTCTAGCACTATAAATTCTCCATTTTCATCGTGTGCAAAGAATGACAGTTATCATCATCAAACTTATCCCAACTATTTACATCAACCTATGCATCCTGCATTTAATCAAGTTGAGTGCTACCTTCGGAGTAAAGTAGATTTTGCACAAATTTTTTTACGCATCTGAAACCATATTATCTTTGGCGTACACCATATCTGCTTTTCTAAAGATCTTTAAACAACCATAAAATAAGAGTGATGATGATGAGCAGATATGGTGTAGTTAAAAATCAATATGAATTTTCAACACTACAATCACTTTTAAAATCCCTCAAACGAGAGGAATTCATGATCACACTAAAAAAGAGTGAAAACAGAATCAAAACCATGTAAAACATAATTTCGATTTGCAAGCAATTAAATGGCCCTTGGGTGGTTCGAGCACGATGGATGTAAAATTCACAGTTTATATAGAAGGTTTGTGATGTGAAACAAACTCATTCAGGAGTTATTTTAAGGAAATTAAAGAGAATAGATTTAACAAAATAATCCCAAAATAAATTTATTAATTATAACAATTATTGATCCTTAGAATTCTTAGTTTTAACTTGCTTAGGCAAAGAAGAGCTTGGTCGGTTAACCAAACAATTTCAGAAAACACAAAGATCAATTATAACACTACGACGGTAAACAAGAATCCGCAATTTAATAATAAGAACTTTCACCTTTGGAGCTCATACGCTCAACTAATCTAGGTTTTAGCGGAAGCAGAGTCTCCACCTTAGAATCGAGGTCGCTCCGAGGAAGAAGGAACCTTGGATCGTCGTTCTTGGATAGGTGGCCGGAGTATGGAATTCTTGACAGCGATTTCTTGAAGGTGTATTCGGCGGCTTGGAATGTCCGGACATTGTTTGAAGACATTCTAGCAGGCTGGACAGCAAGAAAGCATGTTCCCGACCTCCTAAACAGCAGATTTCAAGTGCGTGAAATGCCAAACAGCAGACAGGAGAGGTCTGGACAGCAGTGGGTTGCCTTCTGGAGCTGTCCAGCTAGTGTGGACCTGCAGAAATCGGCTGGACAGCAAATTACCATCATGCAGAATTGGTGAGGAAAATCAAACCCATGACAGAGAGGAGCTCGGGTAGGAGAGAAAACTGAAGGAAAAATTTTCAGATTTCTGAAAATTGCAATTATGAAGAAACGTGGAGAGGGGAAGTTGATTTGAAAACAAATTCAAACGGTTTCCAAAGGAAGGGGCAGCAGTTTTGTGAGGGGTTAGGGAGTTAATGGGAAGTAATTATTGTAATTGGAGGGAGAGAGGGGCCATTAAGGGGGCCAGCCACATGACTAGGAGAGAGGGGCTTGGGCTTTAATGCAATGGGGACCACAAACTTAATCACATATTTCACAAAATCTGAAATAAAATCTCAGATTTCTCAATGAGAAATAACTTCCTAATATGAGGGCAATCAATTGGGTCAATTTGAATTTCAAATTTGAAATTGAAATTCAATTAAATTGATTGCCTAAAATTAAGGAGCTAAATTAGGAAAAAAATAATGGCTCATAAATCATTCAAATTTCAAATTTTGAAATTTGAGGAGGGGAAAGGAGGCGGCTGTAGGGGGGAGGAGACCGGCGGGTTGGGGAAGGGCTGGCCGGCGGCGGCTGGCAGACGGGTTGGGCTGGCCGGTGGCTGCTGGCTGGCGGATAGGGGCTGCAGGTCGGCGGCTGGGTAATCCAGAAGGGGCAGCGGCAATGAGAAAGGGAGGGGAAGAGGTAGGGAAAAATTGGGATTCAAGGATTGAACTCCAAGTTCTCACAAATGCCTCAACCGGATCTCCACGACCACGAATCGATCACAAAAAAAAAAATAAAGGAAGAAAAATGGTATACAAGAAGATCTAGAACTCACAAAGAGATCTAGTTTCTCCTACGAACTCACTAAGAGATCGAGAAGGATGAACTCACAAAGAGATCATAAGTGGCAAATATTTTTCATTCATTAAAAACTGAAATTACAATGCATGAGGCCTCATATAAATAGGCCAAAATGAAAAAAAAAAATAAGAAATGACAAAAATGCCCTTCCGGGCTACATAAGCGACTAAATGCTCATAAGGGCAAAAGCGGAAAAACATCAAAATAAAATACGCTACTACATAAAATGACAAAATACAAGTCATGCTCGTGGCCGTCGATCTCCGGCGTCGAAAATGCTGACGATGTCCTCATCAGTTTGTATAACATTTTGTGCAAAATAAATTTAACATCTCAAATAGCACTTAACTACAAATGAATGAAGGAGGATTCAAAAAACCAATGCAAATATTTGGCATAATGATGCGGACATCGGCACGAAGATCTGGCGCATCTATCACAGGAGGCGTCGTAAATCGACGGCTCAAATTTAAATTGTCATTTATGAGTTATTTTACAAATTTTAGCTCTTATTTTATATTATGTCATGTTTTACCCCTATGTTAGTTTATTTGAATGTTGTGGCCCAGGGGACAATTTTGTAATTTTTTATTTTTCTCATGTTGTGGCCTATATATAGGGCCTTAAGCTATTGTAATGGGATGAAGATTTGATATTAAAAATTGGTGTTCCACACTTGTGTTCTTTTGAGAGAGGACGAGAGTGAGATTCCTATGGGAAGGAATCGGAGTTTCAACAGCCGCAAGATGGGTCCGGGTTCATAATTTGAAGTCCCTTGGAGAAGGGCAACGGATCACCCGTCAGTCTTAAGAAGAGTCCAAGGCTCGCGGTTCTTAATTTCTCTCTTTCGTTTATCTTCTATATTTCTTTGTTTTTGTTTTGTGCCCTCTTTTATTCCTAGCCATCGTTTTTCATCCTCCTCCCCTCTCAACCCCTCGGCCAAACCTCCATACCAAGCTCCACAAATTTTTCCTCTTAGCCGCCGGCCACCTTCCCCCATTAGCTCCTCCACCGCCGGCCATCCTTGTTTGTCTCAATGAATGAGGAGTCAATGTCACCTTAATGCTTACCTAAAGAGTTTAAATAATTTAGGAAAGTATTTTCATACTTTGAAATTCAAATTTTGAATTTCAAATAAGTTTCCTAAATTAGAAAGCTATTTTAGGAAAGTATTGAATTTCATTCATGACGTAATTCAAATTTAATTGAGTGATTTAATTTTGGGTAGTTTTCAAAAATTCAAATTCCACTAATTTGAAATTTGAATTCTTTCCTAATTTATCATCCATTTTTGGAAAGTTTTAAATGACTTCTATTTGAATTTCAAATTCAAATAGGATTTAATTATTTCTTTCATAAACCTCAAACCCAAATTAAGTATTCACAATCTAATGCATTAAAACCCCTATTCTCCCTTGCATGTCGCCGGCCCACCTCACCTCCACCTTGGCATTAACTCATATTTATTTCCTTTTCTCCCTATTTGCTCCAGCCAAAATATTCAAAAGGATCAATTTGAACTTTCAATTCAAATTGGATTTAATTCCATGCTTTCCTAATTCCAATTTCCAAATCAATTTGCCTTAATTTATATCTCTGGTAACTCCTCAGTTAATTCCCTCATCTAAGGAATTAATTAAGGAATTCCAAATCCTTCCCTAACTCCTCCCCTCACCCCCTCATTCCAGCCGGCCCCCTCTCTCCCATGAGATTTTAAGTTGAATTAATTCTCAAGTCTTCCATCAAAGATTTAGGAAATAATTCAAATTCCCTCAAATCCCTCCTACCCAAAATTCTCCTCTGCCATATCCAGCCAATTGTTTTCCTAAATCTAGGGAAATTAATTTGGGATTTTAAATTCCCCTCTCAGCTACCCGCCGCCTCCCCCTTCTCTCCCTCTCTCCCATTTCACGTGTAATTGCCACTGTAACTCTTGGTTCCAATTCACAATTCCTACTACTTGAATTTGAGATTTATATCTCAGGTTTTGAATAAAAACCTGAAGAAAGTTTCAGATTTTGTGAGACATCTGGAGTTTGTCCATCTTCCATAGCAAAGCGTGACCCGTTCTACATCAGTTTGGTATCAGAGCATGGACTCGGATCGACTTGGAAGGACTTTAAACTGGTTGGTAGGTCAAATGGGCGCCATTAGCCAACATCTCAAGGAGAATCAAGCGAACTTAGTCGACCTCCACCGTCAAACAATCGAACGATTCGATAATCTAGAGCGAGGTAGGACTAACCCACCGTTTTATGCAAAAACCCTTTCATCAAAGGATAGAGAACGGACACTAAGAGACAGAGAGATAGTGGATAGAGTAGACAAGTGGATGGAGGCCAATGAAGCCTTCAATTTCCCACTCACTGTGCAAATCAAAGAGAAATCTAAGATGATCAAGGAAGAACATGAAGAAGAAGATGAATTTGTTGATTCAATTACAACTACTACAGAAGCAAAAGTTTCTTCTGACCCCGTTAAAACTCCTACAATGGAGAAGGTTGATGAAGCTCTGGAAGCGATATCCATAGAACTCAATATAGCTCCTATCGCTTGTGAAGTCATATATGAGAGTGAACAAGTTCCTGCAGGTGAAAAGAAGTGTGACAATCTGGAAGGTGATCCCTTGACTATGGTTAAGGAACTTGACGAGCTAAAATGCAACAAGCAAGTTGACCTTGTGGGCAATCGGGGTGGTTTGAAAATCTTTGCAAATAACAGTCCGGAGTTGTACATGAGCAGTTGTGATGCTAACTCGACGGAGTCAAGTATTCTCCCACCTGGGGAGAATGATGCGGACATCGGCACGAAGATCTGGCGCATCTATCACAGGAGGCATCGTAAATCGACGGCTCTAATTTAAATTGTCATTTATGAGTTATTTTATGAATTTTAGCTCTTATTTTATGTTATGTCCTATTTTACCCCTAGGTTAGTTTATTTGAATGTTGTGGCCCAATGGGCAATTTTGTAATTTTTTATTTTTCTCATGTTGTGACCTATATATAGGGTCTTAAGCTATTGTAATGGGGATGAAGATTTGATATTAAAAATTGGTCTTCCACACTTGTGTTCTTTTGAGAGAGGACGAGAGTGAGATTCCTATGGGAAGGAATCGGAGTTTCACCAGCCGCAGGATGGGTCAGGGCTCGTGATTTGAAGTCCCTTTGAGAAGGGCAACGGATCACCCGTCAGTCTTCGGAAGAGTCCAAGGCTCGCGGTTCTTAATTTCTCTCTTTCGTTTATCCTCTATCTTTCTTTGTTTTTTGTTTTGTGCCCTCTTTTGTTCCTAGCCATCGTTTTTCATCCTCCTCCCCTCTCAACCCCTCGGCCAAACCTCCATACCAAGCTCCACAAATTTTTCCTCTTAGCCGCCAGCCACCTTCCCCCATTAGCTCCTCCACCGCCGGCCATCCTTGTTTGTCTCCATGAATGAGGAGTCAATGTCACCTTAATGCTGACCTAAAGAGTTCAAATAATTTAGGAAAGTATTTTCATGCTTTAAAATTCAAATTTTGAATTTCAAATAAGTTTCCTAAATTAGAAAGCTATTTTAGGAAAGTATTGAATTTCATTCATGATATATTTCAAATTTAATTTGGGTGATTTAATTTTAGGGCGGTTTTCAATTTTCAAATTCCACTAATTTAAAATTTGAAATCCTTTCTAATTTATCACTCTATTTTAGGAAAGTCTATAATTAAATCAATTTGGATTTTCAAATTCAAATGGATTTTTAATTAATTGATTTCCTATCTTTCCAAACATATATGATTCCCCAAATTCTCTCCATAACTCCCTCTT